GAGGCGCCAGGACGGGGCGGGGCCAGGACGGGTGGTAAGAGGCCGTGGGCACCAGGACGAGGAGCAACGCGCTTTGTCCCTCCTCTTGGCTGGGGGCAGAGGCACTGCTTCTCAGCAGCTCCTCTCCCTTCACAGAATAAGCTCCGGCCTGTGGATCCCGAGCCCATGCTGAGGACCCCACGCTCCCCCACACCCTGGGGCAGTCCTGTGCCCCACCTCTTTGTGCTTCTCCATGGTGGCGTACAGCTTCTGGGACAGGTCGTTGGACACGTTGGGCATGCTGGGCTTCTTCTTGTTGGCTCGGCTGATGCTGCTCTTGTTCTTGTTGGTTTTCTTGTTGTTCTTCTTCTTGGCATTCTTGCTGTCACCCTGGCTGCCCTGCAATAACATGGAGCTGTCAGATGCATCCGGCCTCCCCAACACCAGGCCAACATACTGGGGTGCCCAGCACCCAGGCTGCGGCGGCTCCAGGAAGGCAGCACCAGGCAGGTAACCCTGGCCAACTCCTCTTGAGAAGACACTGAGGAAAAGGTGGGAGAAGAAGCTGGCCAGACCTGGCTGGGACCGAGCGGGCACAGAGGGGCAAAGACGCGCTCAGGGCTATCCACCCTGTCTCAGCTCCACACCACAAGCCTCTCAGGGACAGCAGCAGCCAGCCCTGACACGCACACGAGCAGGCACCGGGGCTCCTGCATCACAGTCCTCTCCTAAACGCTCGCACCCCGACTCTGCCTGTCTGCAAGCTTCCGTGAGAGGGCTCCAAACACCCACAAACATGGGCTTTGGTGGGAGACGGGGAGAGTGCCAGTGGGAGAGGCAGGTACGTGAGTTTGAGTGGGGACACCCCAGGGGCCCCGTCCAGGCCCAGATTCCACTCTAGAGGGCTGAGGGCAGGACAGGGAGGGTGACCCCAGACCCACAGCCCCTGCAGGCCTGCCGAGCCTGCAGCCCACCCTCAGACAGGGTCCACTCCCCAGCTCCAACGCCCCGCCTGGGAAGGACTCGGGCTGTCCCTCATTTAGCACCAGCTGTGGTCTGGAAAACACTGCAGTCAACAAGAGGGAGTGGGAGAGGGTGTGAGTCGTGACACACGTGAGCAGGACAGCCGCAGGCGCCTCTGGGAAGCGGTTCCCACACAGCCCAGCACCCAGAACCCAGCGCCTCAGTACCACCCACACCGCCGAGAAGGACGGTCTCCTCCTCACAGCACAGCCAGCACTCTGTGCACAGGCCGGGCCCCCAGGGTCAGCACACTCTACCCTCTGACCCCTTAACACTCAATTTTGTTTTAAAAAGAAAATTTCAAAAAAATTACAGAAGACAGCAGCGATAGTGATGTTGATGGTCTGCGCTCCTGAGGAGGAGGCCTTTCACCTCGGGGTCTTCCTCCCCAAGCCCCTCCCCCGTCTAGTCATGAGAAGACATCAGACAAAGCCCAACTGAGAGACGGTCCACAAAATACCTGCCCAGTCCTCCTCAAAACAATCAGAGTCACCAAAAATGAGGGAAATCTGAGAAACTGCTACAGCCAATGAGAATGAGAGCCATGTGGGGTCCCACCATGTGGGACATCAGGGGGCTTAGGAGAGCCAGGTGAAGCGGGCCTTTAGGACGTCGGAGGGCTGAGGAGAGCCGGGTGAAGTGGGGCCTTTAGGATGTTGGGTGACTGAGAGCCAGGTGAAGTGGGCCTTCAGGACGTCGGGGGGCTGAGGAGAGCCGGGTGAAG